TCCTAACAGGAGAAGGTTTTTGTTTGTTTGTTTGAGACAGGGTCTCCCTGTGTAGTCTTGACTAGCCTTGAAATCATTCTGTAGACCAGGTTAGCCTCTAATTCACAGAGATTCACTTGCCCCTGCCTCCTGAATGATGGGATTACAGGTGTGTGCCACCACACTCAATATATTTCTCTAGGAGGGGATACCAAGGTCTAGATGTCACTGGTGTCCCTTTCTGTCTTTATAAATATATTTTAAGATTTTTACTTTTATTTATGTGTGTAGGGGGCTGGTTGCCGGAGGATGCCAAAAAGAGGGTGTTGAATCCCCTGGAGCTGGAGTTACAGGCAGTTGTGAGATACCTAATGTGGATGCCAGGAACTGAGTTCGAGTCCTCTGAAGAGCAGCAAGCACTCTTAACCACCATGCCATCTCTAGCCCTACCCCAACAGGGAAAATAGTTTAAGACTCAAGAACAAAGTCTGGCACAGCACTTCTTGTCAGCTGGAACCAGGTGCCTGCACCTCTCCCAGGCTGTTGATGAATACTGGTGGCTCTGTGGTTCTGGGATCATAAGTGGCAGAGCTCTTTGGGGCTCTCTACACCATGGGCAAATGGCCACTCACTCTGGTTACAAAGCCATGGCTTTGCTAAGCACTATGCTGGGAAGAATTTTAGAGCAGCCTTATTCCATTTCTCTGCTTGGATCTTAAGGCTCATCCAGGCATACTTTGAAATCTAGGTGGAGCTAGCCATGACTCCACAGCTCATGAGCACTGTTTGCTTGCAGAGCTGGAACAGCGTCGACACCACCAAGGTTTATCTCTTCTAGTGGGTTGCTGCCACGCTGAACTTGCAAATAAAGCAGGCATGGTGGCACATGCCTTTAATCCCAGCACTTGGCAAGTAGAGGCAGGCAAAGCTAGCCAGGTCTTCAGAGTGAGTTCCAGGACAGCCAGAGCTCTGTTACACAGAAACCTTGTCTCAAAAAAGCCAAATGGGGGTTGGGGAGAAAGAAAAGAAAAAAAGGGGAGGCAATTAGCATGACAAGGAAAAGACAATGACTTAGAAGCTGTCACACAGCCACGCAAAGGTTTCAACACAGAACTTTTTATTTGACAACAGGCAACAAACTCTTCTAGTGGGTTCATTGTGGAATGTAGATGGTTTTAGATGGTCAGGGGGTGATTTTTCAAACTGAACAAGAATTTCAAGCTTTAAAACATTCAAGACTCAATAGAGATTCTCCACTTTACATCTGGTCTCAAGTATTTTCTAATTGTTTTAGCAATTTGGTATAGATTTGCTTTCAGGTAGGTGAGTAGAGATGATGCTGCTGTCTTTAAAAACAAGGTTGTTTTTTTTTTTTTTTTGGTTTTGTTTTCTTTTTCTTTTTGTTTTGCCATTACAGCTTCATTTATGCAGGAGGATAGGTGATGGCAACGTGTTTTTGATCCTCGTTTAATCAGTTGGATTCATGGCGTTATCTGTGAAAGAAAGGCTTTCAATTATTTTCTGTTTTCCAGAAATGCCTCCCTTGTGCACATCTTTAAAAGGAGCCTACCAAGGACTACCAAGTCTTGCTGACTCTCTCTCTCTCTAGTTTTTTGAGACAGGGTTTCTCTAAGTAGCCCTGGCTGTCCCGGAACTCACTATATAGACTAGGTTGGACTCGAACTCACAGAGATTGGCCTGCCTCTGCCTCCTGAGTGCTGTGATTAAAGTCGTGCGACACCACCGCCCAGCTGATTCTTTATAATAAAAGCCAAAGATCAGTATTTCAGCTGTATGAGATGCCGAAGTGAAAATGCATTATGTGGAGATGGAGATGGCCCAGCCGGTAAAGGTGCTTGCCAGCAAACCTGTGTGCAAGCATGTACTCATGTCCACAGGTCAATATACAAAACGTTAAACACTGAAATGTCCATTTCCTTCCTCACCTATGGATGTTGCCTTGTAAACTCTAGTTTTGATGCTGTGAAAGAACGAAAGCACTACAAGAACTACAAAATCTTTTGCCTGCTGGGTGGTGGTGGCACACGCCTTTAATTCCAGCAGAGGCAGAAGGCAGAGGCAGAAGGATCTTTGTGAGGACAGCCTGGTCTACAGAGTGAGTTCCAGGACAGCCAGGGCTACACAGAGAAACCCTGTCTTGGAAAAAGAAAGACAGACAACTTTTTCTTTCATATAAAGTGTAACTTCAACTTTTAAGACAAACTTATGATAGAGAAGTCACATTGACTTAATTAAAAGATTTCCGTTCTACCTAATGCCAGGCTTAGCTGATAAAAATGATGTCTCTGTGTGGGTATAGGTACATGAGTGTTATTGCCTACAAAGGTCAGGGTAGTTGGGTCCCCCGGAGCTGGAATTATAGGTGACTGTGAGCAACTTGGCACAGGTGCTGGGGACCAAACCCGAGTCCTCTGCAAGAGCAATATGAGCTCTTAACTACTGAGCCATCTCTCCAGCCTCATGGTTTTAGTCTTTATAGGAGATACCATTTCCTTTCCACTCTATTCTGCACAGTAAGACATGGAGAGTGTGTGGGTCAATGGGTCTAGTCTGTGTACTCAGAACTCAGTTGCTCTGCAAAGCCAGAGCCTAAGAGGTGGCGGGACTGGGTGGGGGTTGGAGGGTCAGGTTCTGCTCAGCTCTTCCTTAGCTTCTACCCTCTGCTGCGGGTTACCTTTGTGATTATAATCAGGGGCTCTGGCTCCCGGGTGGGCAGCTTAATGGGGTCTGAACATATCCACCTGGACCCTGCAAACTCGCACTGCCTTGGATCCTCCCAGTTCCTTCCAATTCTCTTTCTCTTTCTCTTGATAACTACTATCCCCAACTCAGTCCCTGCTGGTGAAGACATTCACATACTCCCCAGAGATCTTGACTGGACCAGCCTACTGGGGCTCCTCCTTGCCCAGATTGCAGAGCCTTGGACTTGGTTAACACAGGAGAGAGAAGGGGCACTTACCTGGGGATGTCTGAGTGAGACAGGAACTAGACCACCAGGGACAGTCCCTGAGCTGGAGTCCTCCCTTGTAGCCAAGGCACAGTGTGATCCCTGCGAACAGTGACTGTTCGAACTTCTTCCTTACACTCCATGTTCTTTGCCTACCTAGGTCATCCCTGGAATGGGGTCGGGTGTCTTTTGCATCCCCAGGGCTAGGATTACATCTTGCTCTGCTTCTGTGGTGTCCAGGCATTGAACCAAGGGTTTCATGCATGCAAGGAAAGTCCTTTACCAAGTGGGTTACATCCTGAATATCCCTTGACTGTTTATTTACTTTTTAAATTTTTATTTATTTATTTATTTGTTTGTTTATTGCTTAGGTAGGGTCTTACTATGTAGCACTAGTTCTTATTTATTTATTTGCTGCTTAGGTAGGGTCTTACTATGTAGCCCTAGCTCTCCTGGGACTTGCTCACTAGACCAGGCTGGCCTTCAACTCACAGATACCTGTCTGCCTCATTGAGTACTGGAGCGCTGGACTTAAATGCATGCACCACTACGCCTGGCTTGCAATGTCTTTAATTTTTTCTTTCTTTTTTTTCGAGACAGGGTTTCTCTGTGTAGTTTTGGAGCTGTCCTGGAACTCACTCTGTAGCCCAGGCTGGCCTGGAACTCACAGAGATCTACCTGCCTCTGGCTCCCGAGTGCTGGGATTAAAGGCGTGCGCCATGACCGCCCGGCTGCAATGTCTTTAAATTTTTAAAAGCATTTTAAATTTTTTTTTTTTAAGAGTATGAGTGTTTCCTTTGTATGGATGTCAGGCTGCAAAGATGTAACATATGACTTCAATAACAATACAAAGGGCAAGAAAGATACCTGGTGCAGTTTTTTCCACGTCTTGCTTTGATTTAGATTTCAGGTTAGTGAGCATCTCCCTAGAATACAGAGAAAGTGCAATGGATTGTCAATAGGCTGACACCAACAATTTGGAGACACAAAAGTCATTCAGGCACACATAAAAATTGGCCCATTCATATTGGAACTAAGAAAGGTTGTCTTCCTACTAAAAGAAATGGGGATGTGAAATTTACTTTTTTTTTTTCAGTGATATGTGTAACAGAAAAGACCAAAGAAAGAACTAGAGGTTTTGATAAAAGTTTCATTAGAGCTACTATTTTTGTTGTTTATCAAATAGTAAACAAACCACTGATCTTCCGTAAAAGGGGTGGGGGTGGGGAGTTTGAACAATTAGCCATGCAAAAAGCAGGCAGGCTACTCACCCCACCTTCTTTGAGACAGCTTGAACTATGCAGCCCTAACTGGCCTGGAAGCCACTCTGTAGATCAGATTCTACATAAGAAATCAGAATGTGGTGACGCCCAGCTGGTGAGGTGGAGGCAGGGCTGACTGGAGCTCAAGGCCTGTTTATCCCAGCAGAGCTCCAGGAGACAGAGGTAAACGGAAGCCACTATGTAAATCAGGCTGGCCTAGAACTCAAAGAGATTCTCCTGCTACTGCCTCCCAGATGCTGGGATTGAAGGCATGCACTATTTCTCCATTTTAAAGGAAAAAGCCGGACACCAAATGTGTGCCTCCACTGGCACTTGGTAAAAAAACAGTACTAAGAGAACAGAGCATGAAAGCTCTTCTCTACGACACTGCCTTAGTAGAAACAGACTTGTGGGCTCCTTTACCCTTTGAACTCTCTGATTTATTACAAATATGACAGCCATGTTCACAAAAGCAAAATCCTAAATAATTTAATATCAAAATCATCTGTGAGCTGGGCGGTGGTGGCGCACGCCTTTAATCCCAGCACTCGGGAGGCAGAGGCAGGCGGATGGATCTCTGTGAGTTCGAGGCCAGCCTGGGCTACAGAGTGAGTTCCAGGAAAAGGCGCAAAGCTACACAGAGAAACTCTGTCTGGAAAAACCAAAAAAACAAACAAAAAATCATCTGTGAGAAAAGTACACATAAAACAGAGGAAGTGGAAACAATGTCCTCCATAAAAGCAGCAACAACAGCATAGTGCAACTGGGGGACAGTTGTCACTACAGACTTAGCGCCTTCCTGCATTTCTTTTCAGCAGGTACAAAGGACAAGGCTAAGAACAGTTAATGGAGAGGCATCCTCCCTGTATGATCCACAACCCAAGGACACATAAGATTACATACATATACATGGAGGGGTTTGTTTTTATGTCGCCAATGATAACTTGCACGTTATCGTCAGCATCGCTGTCACTGTGGCTGGTTTCATCATCTTCTTCAATACATCCCTATGGAGTGATAAAGACACACAGGAAAGTCAAAATGAAGTAGACGGAACTTGGGACCATCAAAGCAGGACTTCTGTCTTAATGTTAACCCTACGGTTGATAGTCTTTTTTTTTTTAATATTTTTTTTTATTTTTATTTTATGTGCATTGGTGTTTTGTCTGCGTGTATGTCTGTGTGAGGGTCCTCTGGAACTGGAGTTACAGACAGTTGTGAGCTGCCATGTGGATGCTGGGAATTGAACCCGGGTCCTCTGGAAGAGCAGCCAGTGCTCTTAACTGCTGAGACATCTCTCTAGCCCCCAATGGTTGATAGTCTTAAGTGATGAAAACAAAGTCGGTACGAAGTTTAGTAAACCTTGTTCCTTATAACTTGACCACTGCCCCTCTCCCACATCAAGATCATTAGGTAGGTACCTTGATAACTTTTGAGAAAACGGGCCTTGGGTACAGTGTTCTTGTAAGGGTAGATTGCTCACATTAATGAAAGCACCAGATACCCTGACAAGATCTAAGTTGGTTCTAGAATATTTTAGTGCCTTGGTTGTTGACTATAATTCCCAATTTGCTTTTATTATGGCTGACATTTATTTTCTTTCTTTCAAAATCTCAAAAGAAAATCTGAATGTGGTGGTGCGTATCTGCAGTCCCAGCACTGGGGAGGTAGAGGCATGGCTGAAAGCTCAATGCCATCTTTTAATCCCACCACCACTAGGGAGGCAGAAGCAATTGGGTCTCTGTGAGTTCGAGACCACCCTGGTCTACCATAGTGAGTTCTGGGGCAGCCAGCGCTGCATAGCAAGGCTCTGTCAAAAAAAAAAATGAGAGAGAGATTATATCCATCTAGGCCACATTCACCTTAGCTTTCTAGGGCTATGGCCCTGGCTTCAGGGTAGGCATGCAGCAGCTACTTGAAAAGAATCATTACTTTGGTAATAAATCCTCAATATTCATGTATTCTATACTTACAAATTCACCTATTTATTAAAATTCAGTTGTAACACTTAAATCAATACTTTCAGTGCATTTTGGTTATTTCAGACATGCACAAAGAGGTGAAAAATTTGTCACCCGATGTGAATTTTCCTGGCTGAGGTTGAACCTTGGCCTTCTTGTTTCAGCTCTCATACTTTAAGCACATATCCTCTGCATTGTCCACTTAATACCACAATTTTCACATTTATGTTCCTTTTGCTGGTAGCCCCTACCCTCTGGCATAGTGCTAAAACTCTATGCAGCATGTCTAAGCACACAAGACTGTGCTGTGCTGTGTATTATGTTTAAATTTTAAAGTGTGTGTGTGTGTGTGTGTGTGTGTGTGTGTGTGTGTGTGTGTGTGTGAGAGAGAGAGAGAGAGAGAGAAAGAGATAGAGACAGAGACAGAGAGAGACAGAGACAGAGAGACAGAGAGACAGAGACAGAGAGACAGAGACAGAAGCACATGTGTGGAGGTCAGAAGACAACTTTCAAGAGTTGGTTTTCTCCCTATACCTTGTTTGGGACAGGATAGCTCTTGTTTCTGCCATGCTGAATACTTCAGGCTAGCAGGCCTACAAGCTTCTAGATAATCCTGTGTCTGTCTCCCATCTCACCATAGGAGTGCTGGGATTACAGATTGAAGGCACTTGTTTTGCTTGGTGTAGCCCTGACTGTCCTGGAACTCGATTTGTAGATCTGCTGGCCTTGAACTCACAGAGCTCTCAGCCTGCCTCAGCCTCCTGAGAGTGCTGGGATTAAAGGTATGCGACACCACATCCAGCTTCACATCTGGCTTAAAAAAAAAACTTTTTATGGGCTAAAAAACCTTTTCACAGAGCCACATTTTAGAAAATGATAATAAAAATACACAGTATTCCAAAACTGGCTGAACTATAGTAAGGTGTCATCTGCCCCTTCTGTGTACTGAACTTCATTAATAGCCAAGCCCAAACCTGCTACATGTGCAGTCACACTTTACAGCTTATTCATGTTCTGCTCTACCAAGGAAAATTCTTAGGCTACATACCAAAAAGAATGGATAACCATTCTTCTGTGTATGACTACTTTTTTAAAAAAATATTTATTTTTTATAGCTGGGCGGTGGTGGCACACAGACAGAGGCAGGCAGATCTCTGCGAGTTCGAGGCCAGCCTGGGCTACAGAGTGAGTTCCAGGACAGGCTCCAAAGCTATACAAAGAAACCCTGTCTCAAAAAACCAAAAAAAAATTTATTTATTTTTTAATCACACTCATGATATTCATTAATTACACTCATGATATTAATTACATTTGTGGTATTCACTGATCACATTCTCAGTATTCATTCAATAATTATATTTATGATATTCATTAATTACATCAATTGTATTGATTTATTACATTCACGATATTATATCCTGATACTACTGTCCATTGTGGGGTTTTTCCATCACACAAAACAGAGATGCTGTACTTAGGAAATCATTGCTCTATATTCCTTTCTTCTCCGTCTTGAGATAACATCTAATCTTTCTGGTGTATGACTACTTTTTTTTTTTTTTTTTTTTTTTGGTTTTTTTCGAGACAGGGTTTCTCTGTGTAGCTTTGCGCCTTTCCTGGAACTCACTTGGTAGTCCAGGCTGGCCTCGAACTCACAGAGATCCGCCTGGCTCTGCCTCCCGAGTGCTGGGATTAAAGGCGTGCGCCACCACCGCCCGGCATATGACTACTTTTATGCTAAACATATACCTACTTTTATTAAATTTCATATTTTAAAATTGGGCGAACTCAAAACTGGCAAGATTTTATTTTATTTTGGTCTTAGACATACCCCCTCACACTGAACATGCTAAAATCACATTTATATTACATGCTGAGGGACAGGGAGATGGCTTAGTGAGTAAAGGTGCTAGCCATGATAGCCTGGCAACCCGAGTTTGATCCTCAGAACCCATGAAAAAAAAAATTAAGATATACGGAGCCAGCGAGGTGGCTCAGTAGATTAAGGCACTTTCCATCAAGCCTGAGAAGCACAGGGTGGAAGGAGAGAACCGTCATCTTCAAGTTGCCCTCTGACAGCCACACAAATACCCAAATATACACAAACACACAGAGTAAAAATTAATAATAAATAATAAATAAATTTATTTATGAAGATTTATTTATATTTTTAATTATATGTGTGTATACATGAGTGACAGTGTCCTCAGAGGGCAGAGATAAGACCCCCCTGGAGTTGGGTGTTAGAAGAGGTTGTGAGCTATATAATGTGGGGGCTGGGAATCAAACTCAGGTCTTCTGGAATAGCAGTAAGAACTCTTAACCACTGAGCCAACTCTCTGCCCATATTGCATTCATATTAGAAAGTCCCACTTTAAAAATGTCCAAACAAATTGATATGCGTTTACAGAACTGGAATGGAAGGAGACTTTGAATCAAGTCAGGTGAAGGACTTGTGATGTGTAACATATCTTGGAGAAGATTTAGACCTACCGTGATAGTGGGAAGAAGGCTTGGGGCTGGAGAGATGGCCCAATGGTTAAGAATGCTTATGGTAGCCGGGCGGTGGTGGCACAGGCCTTTAATTCCAGCACTTGGAAGCAGAGGCAGGCGGATCTCTGTGAGTTCAAGGACAGCCTGGTCTACAGAGCGAGATCCAGCACAGGCACCAAAACTACACAGAGAAACCCTGTCTCGAACAAACCAAATTAATTAATTAATTAATTAAAAAAAATGCTTGTGGCTCTTCCGGAGGACCAGAGTTTGATGCCGGTACCCACATTAACTGGCTCATGACTACCTGTAACTCCAGCTCTAGGAGTAGCTAAGGCCCCAATGCCTTTGATGTCTATGGGTACCTGTACTCATGTGCATATATCTACACACACACATGCACAGAATTAAAAATAAAATAAATTTTTAAAAATTTGAAGGTCTATTCTGTGGAAGGAACATTAGATTTGTTAGTAATGGTTCAAAGGAGCTGAATTAGAATAAATGGTTTAAAAGTACAGCAAGACAGCTCCCTATGAAGCCTAAGTGGACAATTTGCTGTTGTAGAGCTACTCAAGGATCTCTGGGGCTTCCTTAGGAAGTACTTTATTCTCCATCAATAGAAAATCATGTAATCACATGCTACAATTCTACAAGCAATTCAAGCACAGTATGATTTACTAGATCAGATGATCTTCCCTGGGACCGAACTTGAAACAGTCTGTAGACACACGAACATATCTAGCACCTGGTTTTCAGAAGGGTAAATCACATGGGCATATTTGTTTTCTCCTATTCTTGCTTCTAAATACATCTCCACCAACAGGCAGGGAAAGAACAAGAAAAAGAGAATACTCTCTGAGTAGTTATTTGCTTATGCATCGATCCCTGTTTCAAAGCCCTAACAGGATTTATGAGAGAAAATATATTGACCAGATTTAACTGATGAGTTAAATACATTCACAGCGTGGTTCAGTTTTCAGTGGTCCTAACACCATATCTCTTCTTCTCTTCTAGTATGTTTAGAATCCAGCACACACACACACACACACACACACACACCACACACACACACACACACCCGCCACCACCATTTGATGTGTGTTTCAGGTTCTCACATCTTGGTGTGTTTAGGTTTTCCTTGTCCCACTTACAGCTTGGCAAGTGTCACTATCATCAGTACTGCTGATTTGGTTCTCTTGAAGAATATCTTGCAGGCGAAGGGATGACTTGGCGAGGCTAGAAAAAAGTATCATAATAGTCAACACACTGGAGAGTTTTTCACCTCAACACCAGATTGCATGCAGCTCAGAAACCCAAGCAGTAAAACTAAAGTACAATCTGGGGCTAAAACCAAATGATTGAATAACTGGGACCGACTTCAGAAAATGCATTGAACAGACTATTGAGACTGAAGGGTGTTATCCAGATCAACTTTTTCATCTTATGGATTACGAAACTGAAACAGTGAGGTGAATCTGTTTTGACTATACTTGTTTGTTCTCGTTTAACTGGCCCAAATATTGCTGCAGTTTTCATGGGCTCACTTGATAGATGTATTTTGCTCTCCACTTTGTTACCTTTTAAAAGCTTCAGTTTTGGATTTTTACCCAGTTCATTCTTGTTTTGGGTTCAGGTCACAACTATTAGCCTAAGTTTGATTCCCAATATTCCTAACAGAAACAGATTTGTTAGCGAGTTCCAGGAAAGGTGCAAAGCTACACAGAGAAACCCTGTCTCGAAAAACAAAACAAAAACAAAAAATAAATAAAACAAAAACAACAACAACAACAAAGAAACCGATTTGTTAGTGGTCCCTAGCTATCTGCACTATGTTGAGATTCTGACCCGAGAGCACCCGCACTGGAGACTGTGTGCTTCTCTAGGCAGTCCAGATCATGCTTCTGCCTGTGCTTCCACTCCCACACTCTGCTCCCATCATTAAATAAAGAGGCTCTGAGACTAAGCTACATCTAAACTGTTTTCTCCTGGAGTTTCTGGGAACTCAGTTATCAGTTCTCTGAGACACTGTATCTCATTCACTAGCCTGAACAACTGGAATGCACTTGGCCTTGGGAGAATCCCTACTGAAAACTGAGTACAAAAGAGAAATTGCTATCCACCATTGTTCGTAGAGGGCTTCAGAAAAGCATGAAAAATAAAAATCCAAAGAAAGCTTTTCAGTCTTATTTTGATAGTATTTTTCTTTAAAGACACAGCAAGGTACCCGTTTCAATCAGTGAGAAAACCAAAGACTCTTTTCTCTTGGAAAAAGAAAGTGTGGTAAATCCTCAGCTACTGCTCTAGAAGGTCCCATGGAAGTGTGCATTTATGTGCTGTTCATCAAATCATGTAACAAGGTAGTCTGGGTGTACTTCTTGTTCGCTTGAGTTGGAATCAACTGCCAATGCAAAGATAACAATGGTTAATGTGAATAGAATGTTGCACAGCTTACCCCAGGGATTCCTCCTCCTTCTTCTCAGTGTCATCATCTGTAATGAAAAATAAAATGTGAAAATGCACATGTAAGGCAAAGGGTGGTAGGAAGGGGAGGCAGTAGCTTGGAAGGCCTCCTGGGCTTGAACTGCTGGGGACAGGAGACCGTAACATGCGGAATGATATTGCCAAACCTAAACACAACTGAGATTTTATTAACATCCTACCAAATAGTTGGAGGAGAGGTAGTAACAGTCACCAGTTTTAGACCCTTTAAACTGCCAAGGGTATAAAAGGAGAACAAATATTTGTAAAAATTTGTCTTTCACTACTTTTTTAAGTGTTTTAAAATTTGCGTTCATATATACCAAGAAAAATATTTTCATTTATTCTTCCGACTCTGAGTAAACTTGCAAAAATCCTTTTACACCTAAGTTAATGTGTGTATTGAGCATATTTAGCACTTTAAGAAGCAAGTTAGTTTCTTGAAACAGGTGAAGAAAAATGAGCTGAAAAAGGAAGATGCTGAGCAGAAAAGGTACCTGAGTTCATCTGAAGGGTCTCTACCCCAAGAAGCACTTTTGTGAGAGCTAATAGCAACAAACCTGAGCTGCTGGAGCTCATTCCTATGAAAGCTTAACAGTTTGCTTTTAAAAAAAAATGCCTAGGCTGGCAAAACATAAAAAAACAAAACAACCAAAAATAGCAGGGTGGACTTAGGGGTGAACTTCAAGGTGGAATACTTGCCCAGTGCAGAGGGAGGCCTTGGCTTGATTCCCAACACTGTGAACGAAACAAGAATAAAAAGGCAAAATGAAGCCAGGTGGTGGTAGCTCGTACCTTTAATCCCAGCACTCGGGAGGCAGAGCCAGGCGGATCTCTGTGAGTTCCAGGGCAGCCTGGTCTACAGAGTGAGTTCCAGGACAGGCACCAAAACTACACAGAGAAACCCTGTCTCAAAAAATCAAAAAAAAAAAAAAAAAAAAAGGCAAAATGAGGATTAAAACATATATAGACCCAAATACAAATAAAATGCATATTTAATACATTAAAAGTCAAAGCACTTTGAAGATATCTCCTCCACATTTATCATTGCATGTTCTAGGAGATACAGAAGCAAGAGTATGTAGATTTTGTGGCAAGTGAGGCTGTTATGTCAGAAGGTTAAGCCGCCGCTTCATTGTTTTGTTTTGTTTTGTTTTGTTTTCCTTAGACAGTCTCACTGTATAGCCCTAGCTGGCCTGGAGCTCTCTATGTAGACCAGGCTAGCCTCAGACTCACAGAGCTCAGCCTGCCTCTATCTCCCATGTGCTGGGATTAAAAGTATACACCACCACATCCAGTTTACTTTGTCTTATTTGTTTGGCTTTGTTTTTGCCAATAGAGGGTTTCAGACAGCCCTGGCTGTCCTGAAACTTGCTCTGCAGACCAGGCTGGCCTCGAATTCAGAGATACATGCTTGCCTCTACCTCCCAAATGCTGGGATTAAAGGTGCCACCACTACTGCCCGACTCCAGCTCACTATATTAAGGTGAAAAAGTGAATCCAAAATATATGTTTAAATGCCTCAGTTTACAAGACTTCTGTTGTTGTTGAGTGGGTCCCTCAATTTGATTGGGGAGAACTACCAGATGCCCCAAATTCTAGGAGAAAGTAGAAAGGGGATGGATGATAACTACCAACTCACACTGGGACATTCTGGTCTCCAGTAACAATGCTCTTTTCCAACAGTGTCCAAAGGTAGTTCCACACGGGTTAGTATGTAACGCTGATTAGTTCATTCATAAAAGTTTGTGTTGTTCATCATTCTAGTTGCCTCCAGTTAAAGAGAATCCCTGATTTTGTTTGACAGTTTTAGAGAAAACTAAGGATCCTCGGATGACATTACTTAGAAATCGGGGCAGGCGGCATGAGAAACAAGAAAACCTGGTGAGATAGAAGATGTTTTCCCCTCTGCTCAGGGGGAATTTGAAAGAAACAGTGTCTCTGAATTCAGGCCCAGAAGGGTCACTTTCCACCTTTAGACAGTGATAAAAGAGTAGGTCTTTACCTTCGAAAAACCAGCGTTCTTCATCTTCAAATTCTGTGAACTCCATTGCGCTGCATTCTGCTTCAGATGCCTGGGGGGTCTGCTCCTCAGACATGGCTGTGGAATTAGGCTCCTGCGTTTGGGAAGAGGATACGGGGAGACCTGTTGGAGGAGCTGATACCCAAGTCTAGGTGGCTGCTATGAATGAAGGCCTGAGGATCTGGGCCAGAGCTTCAAGCTTTCATCATAGCCTCTGTTTGTGATGTTGTGGAGGGTGGGGCTTGGGTGGGGCCTGGGTAAGGAGGCCAGGGCCTGGGCCCAGGCCTAGGGGGCCAGGGACTGGGGCCAGAGAGCCCAGGGTGTTGGAAATAGGTAGAGCAAGAGTCCTAAAGGCCTACCCTCCATCAAGGTCTTAGAAAACACTGGCATCTAAGTTTTCCTTCAGTTAAGGTGGAAATATTAAGAAAACCTCTGTGATCTAGTTAGTATTAGGGTGAGGTGGTAGGTCCTATATGCCTCCTTTTACAGGATCAGGTATCAGAGCTTCCACCTTACCACCAACTTACCACCGTGGAGCTTGCCTTTCCCAATCTACCCTTACAGACGTTCTTTTTCGGCACTTGTAAAGAACAGGAGGATGGGTGAGGTTAGCAGGCAGTGGTGTTGGAAGGGTACCGTGGTTGGGTACCAGACCATAGGAGATGAGGCCCAGAGGCAAGGAAATAGGCTAGGGATCGGCAGGCAGTTTGTGGAGGTGTAGGATGAGAGAAGGTCACATGTCTGTGGTACCCCTTACCCCAATCCTCCGAGGGCATAGGAAAAAAATTGGCGTCTGGGTTCTCTCAGCTGGGGCAGAAACACTAAGAGAATATCTGGGACTTAGTTAGCTGGGGGACGGGGGCGGGGGCGAGGAGCGCGGAGGAGGAGGCACTCTTAACACTCTTCCTTTCACGTGTCAGATACTGAAACTCCCTACCTTACAAAGGCTACAGGACCACACTGTGAAATTGGACTCTCCTTATCAACCGCCGGGCACAGAATGTTAGTGTTCCCAGCAGTACTCCAGGGCCACAGAAGGTGGGGGTGGGTCTCGTGGGCAGTAGGCACGAGGAGGCTGGAATGAGCGTCATCCACAGGTGGGGGTGGGTCTCGTGGGCAGTGGGCAGTGGGCAAGAGGCTGGAATGAGCGTCGTAATGGGTAGGGCTGGTGTCAGGAGCTGCGGGGTTGTGTGGGGCAGGGGGTAAGATAATGGTGGTGATGGGTGGAGAGGTGGGTCGGGAACTAGAGAATACCACACTTTGGTAGGACCTACCCCTAAAGGTGCTTCCTCATTACAGGGCTTAGAACACACTTGCTGCTAGGTTTTCCCTCAGCTCGCCTGGAAGCAGCAAGAAAATGTCTGATCTTGTTAATGCTTGGAGATGGGCTGTCCTATGTTCTTCTTTTTAGTGAATCAAATATTGAACCCCCTACCTTACAAAGCCAGCAAGACCTCACCGCAGAATTTGACTCGATTTTCCAGCTAATCTGCACTGCTCCTCTGATGCCCAAGCAATCCTTTCAGAGGTCTGAAAGTGGTGGGGATGAAAGACAGGGTGCGGTGCGGTGGTGCGAGGTGGCGCCAGGTCTGGGGGACCGGAAGGTGAGATGGTGTGCTGGAGGGGGTAGTGTGATGTAAGATGAGATTGTTACACCTTTGTAGCAGGCTAAAGGCTCATCCCTGTCCTTTGAGGGATGATGCTAGAAAACACCAGCACATAGATTTTCCTTCAGCTACTCTAGAAGCACTAAAAACGTCTGCACTCTAGGTTAATACTTTCTTGAGACAAAGTCTCAGTATGTTGTCCCACCTGATCTGGAACTTGCTATGTAGATCAGGCTGGCCCCAAACTCACAGAGATCCATCCTCCCACCTTTGACCTCTGCGAGTATTGTCATTAAAGGACTGCGCTACCACACTACATTCTAGTTACTATTTTGTGAGGGTCAGTTGCTCCTCAGCTTTTCCTTGTATTGGGTCAGTTAGTGGAAAGTCTTACTTGGTAAAGGTGGCCAGACCTCACTGTAGAGTATGACTCTCCTTCCCAGAGACCTGTGCAGACCTTTAGATTTCCCAGCAGGAATTGTGGAGCCCAGAAGGTGGACTCATGGTCATCTGGCTTCAGGGAGTCAGGTGCAGGGGAGGTTAGGCGTTTCGGGAGAGAGAATGTCACATCTCCATGGTATCCTAAAGTCTCATCCACACTGGAATGCCTAGAAAATACTGGTTCCTAGATTCTCACCCAGCTGGCATGGATGCACAAAGCAAATGCCAGATCTAGTTACTATTTGAGAGAAGAGGGACTGGTCCTATACTCTTTCTTCACTGGGTTAGGTACTAGTTTTTACCTTATGAAAGCACTAAGACTTCATTGGGGAGCTTGACTTTCTGTCCAAACCTATAGCTCAGACCATTATTTTCCTGTGAAAATAAAAAACAGAAGGTGGGGTGGGGGTAAGGGTGAGGAGTCAATTGTGTGTGATGAGGCCAACTGGGGAATACACGGCTAGAGAATGTCAGCTCTCTGAAGTATCCTAAAGGCTCACATTCCCTGGAGGACCCAGAGAAACCTGGTGCGTATTCTCCCTCAACTAGATTGGAAGTGCTAAGGAAACATGACCTATTTTCCTTTGGTTGGTTGTGTGTGTAGGTTTGCTTCTGTAGTCCTTCTGCCAAACCAAAGCAAATGTGACCACCTAACCCAACCTTAACTTATCCTAACATTTGATTTTGAAGTAGTGCTTGAAGAACACAGAAAGTGGGATAGGGGTGGGGTAGAGGGAGACAGGAGGATGTAGTTGGGGGTAGGTAGCATGGGGGTTTGGGGGTGATAAGAATAGAAAAAGTCAGGCCGGGCGGTGGTGGCGGCGCACGCCTTTAATCCCAGCACTCGGGAGGCAGAGCCAGGTGGATCTCTGTGAGTTCGAGGCCAGCCTGGTCTCCAAAGCGAGTCCCAGGACAGGCGCAAAGCTACACAGAGAAACCCTGTCTCGAAAAACCAAAAAAAAAAAAAAAAAAAAAAAAAAAAAAAGAATAGAAAAAGTCACATCTCTGTTGTTGATGGTTGGAGAGCCTAGAAAATGCTGGTGCCTCAGTTCTCTCTCAGCTAGGTTGGAACTGTGAAGAAAATGTCTGGGACCTTTTTTTTTTTTTTTCTTTTCAAGAGAGGGTTTCTCTGTGTAGCTCTGGCTGTCCTGGAACTCACTCTGTAGACCAGACTGGCCTTGAACTCACAGAGATCCACCTGCCTCTGCCTCCTGAGTGCTGGGATTAAAGGCGTGCACCACCACCTCCCAGCAACCTTCTTAATATTGGGGAGGGGGATGGGGTCAGATTGCCTCACTGTTTTTTTTTGTTTTGTTTTGTTTTCTAGAGACAGGGTTTCTCTGTGTAGTCCTGGCTGTCATGGAACTCACTCTGTAGACCAGGCTGGCCTCGAACTTACAGAGATCCACCCCCCTCTGCCTCCCAAGTGCTGCAATTAAAGGCTTGTGCCACCACCGCCCGGCCAGTTTACTGGGTTTAAAAACAGACCTCCACACCTTCTAAAAGTACCAGGACTTTACTCTTGACCCCAGCTTTCCTTCCTCATGGATCTGCACAGGCTGTTAGATTTTCGAGCACTACTCCTAGAGCACAGAAGGTGGGCAGCAGATGGGGTAGGTTGGAGGGGCAGGATGAGGATCAAGCGGGTGTGGGTGTGTGAGGGGTATGATGAGAGACCGTCACACCTCCATAGTACCCTAAAGGCCCATAGAATATCCTAATGCCCCACTGTCATTGGAAATCCTTAAAAATGCTGGTGCCTAGTCTCACCCCCCAGCTTGCATGAAAAGCTAAGAAAATGTCTGTGATCTAGTTTATGTATATCTATATGTACACATATACACACATATTGATACATATATACATACACAAACATATATATTCCTTGCTCTTCCTTTGACCTATTTATTACTGCCTCTGGCTCAGGTACTGGGCCCCCTTAAGTTCTAACAGTTAGAGATCTTACTGGCTCTTCCTCCCAACTGACAGATCACTCGATTTCCCAGTTAGTGCTTGCCAACCCTGGAAGGCTTGCTTTGCTCCCTTGGCCTTCTGGAGTACAGAATGTGTTCTTTCTGGCGTACAGAATGCGTTCTTTCTGGCATACAGAATGCGTTCTTTCTGGCATACAGAATGCGTTCTTTCTGGCATACAGAATGCGCTCTTAGTGACAGTTAAAAATCAAGAGGCATATGGAACTCATCCACATTAACCGCTTGCTTTCCAGGTCTCTCCCTGGGCAGACATTTCTGTAATCCTCCCTGATTCTAGTTTGCTTTCTGCTGATATAAAATACTAAACAAAAGCAACTTGGGGAGTGTCTTAGGCTTTCTACTGCTGTGATACAACACGGTGACTAAAAGAAACTTGAGGAGGAAGGGGTTTGTTTCAGCTTACAATTCTCGAATCACTATCCTTTACTAAGCGAAGTCAGAGTAGGACTTGAGGCAGGAACTGAAGCAGAAGCTCCGGAAGCTGCTTCCTGGCTTGCTCCCCAGGACTTGTCCAGCCTGCTTTGTTACTCAACCCAGGACCACCTGGCCAGGGGAAGCACAGCTTACAGTGGGCTGGAGCCTCCCCACATCAGTCATCAATCAGTAAAATGCCCCACAGACTTGCCTACAGGCAATCTGATGGAGGCCTCTTCTCAGTAGAGGTTCCTTCCCTCTTCCCAGATGGCCTGTGTCAAATTAAAAACTAGTCACATAGGAGATAAGGGTTTATTTCATCTGTTTAAGGTGTTTTCAAACTTCCCTCTGAAAACTCACACGCCAAGCCTTAATCTTTAGCATTTCTCTCTGCATTCTTCCAAGGTCCTACAGAAGAGCCCATTAAGCGATGCACACTCAACAGCTTTTCTAGCCCCAAGTTCCACAAATCCACCACAATCCTTCCCAAAACATGGGCAAGTCTGTCACAGCAATTGCTGTACTGGTACAAAATTCTGTTCTAGTTTGCTTCCGGTTGCTGTGGTAAGATGCTGACCAAAACTAACTTGGGGAGGAAAGGGTTTATTTCACCTTACAGC